ATGCTTAGAATACGTAGCTCTGTATATAGTTTTGTACCATAGTTGTAGTAATAGAATAAAAGGAAGATATTTTACAGAGCTGCTCTCCGAGTGGTTTATACTCTGCAAGACTCTGCAAAACTCTGCTGCGCAACGACTGAAGTATTGAGACAGTGAATCCGGTGCTCTCAGCTCCAAGCTGTGAGTCCACAGCACTGTGACCGTTTCCTGCGGGAAGGAGGTCTCTGGCGGTGCTACCCAGCTCGCCCAGCCCAGTCGGGGTTGAGGTGCAAGAGTCCAGTTGGTGCACTGGCTCTCTAGGGCGATGCTGACACAAAGGGCATTGTCAGTCTTTTGCTTTGCAAACCTTCCCACTCAGTTCCTTCCAGTTTCCAGTTTCAGAGATTGAAAGGAGTGGCATGGGTCTGCTTCAAAGAGCAGTACTTGGAAGCAGGGGTGTTTTCCACTGAATAGAAACCACTTCCCATTCCTCGAGCAAGCTGCATTCCTGCCAAAGGAACAACCAGGATCCCATTTTAAGCTCCCAATTGTCCATTTGAAGCCCTGTCCTTAACAACCCCTCACCTGTCAACAGGTGTAGGGTAAGTGGGCATGGCTCCTCCAAAACAGCCTCATGGACCAAAATTTGGCCCATGGGACCGGAGGTTCCCCACTCTTACCCTATTGTATCAGCCTCTGCTCCTTACAAATAATAGTAAAATATACAATACAGTAGGGGGGTGGGTGGTGCTGTGGGTTAAACCACAGAGCCTAGGACTTGTCGATCAGAAGGTTGGCAGTTTGAATCCCCGTGACGGGGTGAGCTCCCATTGTTCGGTCCCAGCTCCTGCCCAACTAGCAGTTCGAAAGCACGTCAAAGTGCAAGTAGATCAATAGGTACCGCTCCAGCAGGAAGGTAAACGGCGTTTCCGTGCACTGCTCTGGTTTGCCAGAAGTGGCTTAGTCATGCTGGCCACATGACCCGGAAGCTGTACGCCGGCTCCCTCGGCCAATAAAGCGAGATGAGTGCCGCAACCCCAGAGTCGGCCATGACTGGACCTAATGGTCAGGGGTCCCTTTACCTTTTATACAATACAGTACAGGAGCTGCACAATGGAACGCTGTTCCTTCACTCTTCTTTGTAGATCATACCAGTTGGATGGACACAGTCATATGTGATAATCACATACTTATTTTTCATGGCAGGAAGCTGACAGCTGTGTATGCCCTGTTGTTTCCAGCACAAGTACACAGCATGCATTTGCAAGAAAGGAGATGCACATGTGACCATCATGTGACAAAATGTATGTGTCTTACATAATTTTTCCACGAAAGAATTCATTAAATGGCCTTGACAGGACAATCCTCCACATGTTTATTCAAAAACAAGTCCCACTGAACTCAGTAGGACTTACTCCCAGGAAAGTGGATATAGGATTGGAGTCTTAGGTTGTAATCATAAACACACTAACTAAAGAGTAAATGCTCATAGGATTTCGCTGGAACCTCTCGATGAAAGTTTCATTCCTGAAAGTCCTAATTGCTGCTTTGTATAATTGAAAACAAGCTAGTTAGAGGACTAACCCTTTACACTGTTGGCAGTGAAAAATAGCACCTGTCTTGTAGCACCTTAAAAGCTAACGTGTATTATGGGATAAGCTTTCATGGACTAGAGTCACGTTTTTTTAGTTGCATGCAGTGTTGTCATAAGTTGTGTGTGTGTATGTGTATATGTGAAAACTTGTAAGCAATAAGATGATATAACTATGTAAGGCAAATTGAAGCTGTGTCAAATCAATTAAATCTTAAACGTATGCAAAACAAACTGGGTGGATTCCTTTCACATCTTTTTGAATTCTCTAATAGGCACTTGAATATGCTCTCTCTGTGTTTAGTTTTACCTCAGAATGCTTAAGTTGGAATAACAGACTTGAAGCCTCTGAATGCCATTGGAATGAAAATGTAGAATAAGAGCAGCTTTTGATTTGTTCAGCAGTAACTCACTTTCTATTCACGTCGTCTTAGATGCCTGCGGTAAAATCTTAACTTCACAGAAATCAATGGCTCCCTTTAACTTCAGTGAAGTCTGGATTTCACCCTAGAGCCAAGTCTTGAAGGGTGGGGGTTGGGGAGAAGAACTTCATATTCATATTGAATATGAATATAAACACACAGAAGGTGCCTTTCTGGGCATCAAATTTGCTTAAACAAGACCTGGAAACAGACCTTATCACACAGGAGCTGCAGTTGGAGCTCTGCACCATTTAAAATCATATACTCTTCAGAAGGCATGGGGAGAATTTAAATTGAATTCACATATAAATTAAATAAACTTAATTTACCTTTTCCAAAGCAAGACATGAACCAAAAAAACACTTCGAAATTTGCACTTATCTGAATTTTGCAATGCAATTCAGGTAATGTGCGTACAAAATTGCATATACTGAGGGAAAATGTGCAGAAAATGCATATACTAGTGGAAAAAACATACAGAAATGCAGAAGTGATGCTTTGCAAAAATTAGAATAATAGTTAAAATTGCATACAAACATATATATTAGGAGAAGTCTGCACTTAATGAATTTTTATGAGGAGGAGAGGCAAAGTGTTTTTCCCCATCTGCCTTTAAATAAGGAAGTCTGAACAAAATGTGAAATGATTAAAATGGAAGAGATTTGGGACAAGAGAGAGAGAGAGAGAGAGAGAGAGAGCGAGAGCGCACACATAGAATTAAGTTGATGGGAAGTCTGAAAAAATAAGTTGGAGAGAATTCAAGAGTAGGGCTGTGAGCCTATAACTACCTACTTGGGAGGAAGCAAGCATTGGGCTCAGTGGGGTTTACTACTGAGTAGATGTGTGTAGGCTTGGAGTGCAGCTTGTGCCATTTTTTACATGCAGTCAGATTTTTCTTTTTACCCCCATTGGATGCAAACCTCTTGCCCCAGATGCGTCCGTTTGTGTTCCAGCATGGAATGTTCTGAGTTATACAGTGCACACAGGTTCAAATCAATGCTTAGTATGTGTCCACCAGAGTATGTGTAGCTGGCAGAAAACCTGTAGCTATCATGTTCTAGTGATTGAGATAATGTAGGTCTGTGATGTTCAGAAGAGTCGATCTCATCCTCCCTTCCATTGGTTTTCTTTTAAGAGTTTTGCATAGGTCAATGCAATGTTTATGGCCATGCTTGTTGTGCTTTACATTACTGATGGTCAAGAGTGAATATCTGGGAGTCAAAGCAACTCTGAGTTACTAAAAGAAGTATCAGAAAGTACAATAAATCTAATCTTCTCAGTTAATGGGACAAGGGCAGTGTGTGTGTCTGTCTGTGTGTGTCTGTCTGTGTGTGTTGTGTAAGACTTCAGAGTTTCCTCTCCTTTATTACACTTCACACTGTTCAGTTTACAGTCCTCCCTGCCCAGACTCACCTCCTTCTGAGAAGGATTAAGGGGAAAGAAAATCACTCAAGTTTTTCAATATCATATTATGTCTGAGATAAGCACTGGCTCTTCTCAGGTCACAGTGCGCCGTCTCTCGCCATGTCCTCTTACATTCAATCTGTGAAGGCAAATTGAGCATCACTGCTTATAGACTGAATAGGAGCATTGGTGACCTTGATGAAAAGAAATAAATCTCTTTTTACACCAAGAAGCAGCAGCAGCAAGAGCAGCAAATTTTCCGCTAGAACTGTAATTCCCAGGCACCTGATTGCCCAATGATGATGGAAACCAAGAATGCCAGATATTCTCACACATTTTATTTATTTGTTTACCAATCATATTTATATGTGAATGCCCAATAACATTGTTCTTGGAAGTGGGGGGGGGGGGACTCAGAAACACAGAATGATAAAACACACACCTCCACTGAACTCATCAGTAGCAAGCAACATAGGTCAGCCAAACAGGGGAAAAATATTTTTTATATTTGGACAGATTTCATATAGTATAGGTTGCCTTCTGTTGGTTTGTAACTCGGCCACAGCTTTCATGGATTCTTTCCTGACTTCCATTGACAGCCTCCTTTTTCCTTAAGAACACAAATGCTTTGCCTTGGGGTGTTCAGTAAGGTATCTCAAGAAGCCATGAGACCTTCATGAAGTCCAAAATATAGATATGGAATCGGAGAACTTGTTGATCTTGATCAGGATCCAGCCCTGGTTTCCTGCTCTCTGTGCCACCAGTTCAGAGATGGAGCTGTAGGCAGGCGATGATGGGGTACTTGGAGAATTCTCCTCACCTGTGGAATCAGCTGATGCCAGACATCCTATACTTGAACCACTGCCTGCTATAAAACTCCCAAGTCTCATGCACTTCCTTAGTCTTGGCACCTTGTTGTGGGAGTTCATTAGGCTTTCAGCGTGTGTTGCCAGAAGTCTGTTGGTATGGCCACCTGCCTGCCTGCTTTGGGGCATTTGTGCCTGGCAATTCATGCATCTGTTAATAAAGCAATCTGAACATGGAAGCAGGCTTGTGTTGCGAGATTACCCTTTTGATTTAGATCAGTGCATTGTGAAGCATTCTTTTTTGGGAGTGGGGAAAACATGGTGATCTGTGCTGCACTGGATCCGTGTTTTCAGGCTGCACAATCCTGGCAGCAGATTGCACCAAGCTGGAGAAGCACCTGCTCTGGTGGCCGTGCCTGTGGAAGGGCTGGCATTTGCTGCTGGACTGTAGCCAAGAGCTCTGCCTTCTGTGATATTGTTTATTCATCATATGACGATGACAATTCAAAACTTTCTTGAGCTACCTATTATCTCTGGCACACACATACACAATTTATGTTGCATCTCTCATTTTTGGCAGGAAAAATATACCTTCTTGTTTTCCCCCACTGATGGGACTGAAAAATGTATCCATTTGCAAGGCTATAATTTCCCCCCCAGATATTTGTATTCATGTATAAATGCTTTGGCCAAGTGATTTGGAGTAGTTTTGCCTCTTAGATAATTGCAAAGTCATTTTAAATAACTATGTCTTAGATATTTGAAATTCCACTTGTTTCTTCCTTTCTTTCAGACTAAATGCAGGATTGTACTTATTCCCCATGACCTTGTGAAGCTGCTTGCTGAAACTCGATCATGTCTTGGAGGCTGATATAAATCTCATGCACGGTAATTCTGGGTTAAATAACATTCTAGCAAAAAGTAAAGAATGATTCATTTTTAAAAGTGCATTGTCAGGTTGCCAGACCTGTGTTTTGATGCTGATCACTTTTGCATTTAACCTTGATTTTCTGTTGGACTGAAGAGTCCATGTCAGATTTATAGGTGTTTTATCTTGACTTTACAGCATTTTCTTCTCCTTAACACTTTGCACTTGGTCAACTACCTTAAACAAGATTGTGTTACTTATTAAGGGCATACTACAATGGTTTGATGATTGGGGCTAGTTCACACCTGCATGTTGAACACTCAATGACTGCAGCATCGTGATAACATACTTGGGTCTGATTCGATACAAGCCAGAGAGAACATTCATACGATCTAAAAAAGAAGCCAAAGATAACATTGTTGGGAGTTTGAGGGGTCAGTCTGAATGGTGCCTGAGTCGCTTCTAATTCCTGGGATCTGAGATCTAGGAAGGGTTAAAATCTAATGGAAGGACTACAATCTCATACTAGTCAGGCTAGTTTCTTTGTGAGATGGCTGCAGTTACCATCTAAGTACTGTTATTAGTATAACAAAAGAAGTTGTTCTGTGCCATTAAGGCAAATGGGTGGGCTTCCTCCTTCACCTGGCTGGTAATCAGAAGACAAAAGCAGTGTGAGAGAGAGCTGAGCTAAAGGCAGGCAGCAATAGGAGAGACAGAGCTATGTTTGACTGCTGCTTAATAGACTATGACTATGGGAGCAGCTGGGACGCGGGTGGAGCTGTGGGTAAAACCTCAGCGCCTAGGACTTGCCGATCGCATGGTCGGCGGTTCAAATCCCCGCGGCGGGGTGAGCTCCGTCGTTCAGTCCCAGCTCCTGCCCACCTAGCAGTTCGAAAGCACCCTTAAGTGCAAGTAGATAAATAGGTACCGCTTTATAGCGGGAAGGTAAATGGCGTTTCCGTGTGCTGCTCTGGTGCCGGTTCGCCAGAGCAGCTTCGTCACACTGGCCATGTGACCCGGAAGTGTCTGCGGACAGCGCTGGCTCCCGGCCTCTAGAGTGAGATGAGCACACAACCCTAGAGTCGGACACGACTGGCCCATACGGGCAGGGGTACCTTTACCTTTTTATGGGAGCAGCAATACCTTTTGGGGTGCTAATGCTGAGAAACACCCCCCATCATATATATGTTCAAGTAAACCATATATTTGAAAGACACCACAGTCTCCACTGTGTCTCCTTCCTTCCAAGGATCCCAAACCCTGGCTAAGCACCTGCAACCCCTGGGATTTCTCACTGCTTGGTGAGTGCAGTGGTATGTAACAATATATGGAGGAGTCATGGTATGTGCATGGTGCTCTGAGCCTGCCTTCACAGCTGAACAGTCATGATGAGCATACTAAGCTAGAATCTAGGGTAGTGGGTAGTTTAGGGCATCACACATTAAGGGCACTGGGAAACTGGACAAAGTCCAGAGGAAGGTAACCAGGATGGGGAGGGGTCTAGAAGCCATGTCCTATGAGGAAATAGCTGGATATGATTACTCTGGAGTGAAGAAAGCTGAGAGGACACATGATAGCTTTCTTAAAATTCTGAAGGACTATCACACAGATAGCGGAGAAGACTTGTTCTGTATTGTACCCAACAAATGAGTAGAACTGTTGGGTGCAAATTGCAAGGAAGTAGATTTCAGCTAAACATTAGACGAAACTTCCTAACAGTAGGAGCTCTTTGACAGCGGAACAGACCGCCCTGGATTCCTTTGCTAGAGGTATTAAAGGAGAAGCTCAGACAGGAATTCTGTGACAGGAATGCTGTGGATGCATCCTGCTTAGTAGTTCCTGAATTCAGCCAATTGGACAAGGTAGCTTCCAAGATTCAACTCTTAAAAAATTGTGCTGTGATCCAGTGGTGGATGGTGTCCATTGGAACTGGTAGGGAGGATGGCAGGGTGCCCAAACAGGAAATGGAACCTGAGCAGATGACAGGCAGAGCCATCTAATTCTCCCTATCCTCTTCCCTGCTGAGTTATACAACAAAACAAAACAAAACACTGAGACGAAGGTGGGGGAAGCTGACAGGCTGTGCCAACCCCTGGACTGGTTGTAAGTAGGAAGGTATATAGGTGGGAACCGGCTAAGGGGAGACTGAGCTTGGTGAGTTGTGCCCTATTTGCCTTCAGACACTACCCCCACTGCTTGTGACCAGTCTTTCTTCCCATTTCCTTGCTGCAGATAAGAAACTGGCTTGTAATCTTTAATAAGGAGAAAAAACCCACAATCACGATCCTATTCTTTAGCATTGTTGTCTATTATGTTTTTGGTGTTTTTTTTAAGTTCACAGTGTTTTATATCAACACCCCAGCCTTTTGTCTTGAATTGGTAAAATGCTGTGTGTTAGCAAAACCTTTCACTGGAACAGCTACGAATGATGAAGTGTTTCATTTGGATAAGATAGTCAGCAGTGTTCAAAAACAAGAATTGCATTAGTGTTCAGTCTCCAGCTCTAAGATTATTCAAACCTTGTTAATGAAACCTGACTTCTAGAATAACAGAACAATCTTTTAAAGATAAGTTTGTATTTGCATTATTTACTATTATAGACAATCTGCTAAAACTACCTGAATAAAATATCTTTCATACTGCATGTAAGGCTGTTTTTTATTATTAAACATACCCTGCTGTTCAGGATCATTTTTTTAAAATCGTAGGGTAAATAGTTTTGCACTATTGGGCACATTATTATTATTTCATTTGACTTTCACCATCATCTCTTTTTTGCATTTGTTCTGTTTTCTTAATTATTGATTATTGTATTAGAATCATAACTGTTGTTTCTCTGATAAGAAAAATGCTTAATTCCAGGGGCAAACGAAAACCTTAAACACTTTGCCTTAAACAGGCATTATAGAAAAAAGCCAAACATTGTGTCACATAGACCATTCCTAAATGCTAATAATGATGGGGTTGGGCAAACTTCTTTGGGAAGAGCATTCCACAGCTTGGGAGCCACCACTGCACACCTCCCTTAAAGGAGACACAAGGAATTATAGGATGGTTACCACTATTTTAATCAGTAAAAACCTCCCCAAAAACAACAACCCTGGAATGATGACTTTAACATCAAGTAATAAATAACAAGACAGCATAACAAAAGAAAACCTTTCAAAAATTAACAAAAAGAGAGAGAACTTAGTGGAAAGCATGAGGTCTATATCATTCTTGTGAAATTTATTTGTAAACATAGTCTGTGATGAAAGGAATTTTTAAGCATCTTTCTCAAACTGGAATATAATAGGTTATCTTAGATAATATAATAGGTTATCTCAGACAAAAAAGCAGTGTTCTCTAGGTTCTATAAAACTATTCAAAGGAGCAATAGATTATTTCCAGTTCTGTCATGCCGTGATGCCATTAGTAACTTGATCGTTGCTTGTAAGCACTTCTGATCAACCACGTGATGTAAATAATTGCTCATAAAACATCTTTTCAATGTGTATTCATTTGATTTTATGTTTAGAAACAAATGAATGCCTAATATTTTCTGATCAGGTGATTAGTCACGTAACTGAAAGCAACACCACCACCACTTCTGGAAAAACAAACTAGAGTGTAGACTAAATCTCAGCATAGCTATCTCTGTTTGGTAGCTGCTACAATGAAATATGAAGTGCTACTCTTCTCTTTTCTACCTCTTTCTTTTAAAATTCTGCTTGTAATGCTTTAAGCCAGCCTGACAAAAAGGACACTATAAATGAATCTACACATCAGAAACATCTGCTATGGCCACATGGGAAAACAGTGTAGAAGGCAAATCTCCTTTCAGCTTTTTTTCCTTCAGTAAAACACTCTACAGAACAATCTGCATATCTGTTGCTGTGAATAGTGCTAAGACTTCAGGTCCAGCTGGCAGCAGACTGGAATAATAACTCTTTCGAGTAACACATCCTTCATAATCCTGTTGCCAGGCTGTCCTCAATCTACTACCAATTCCAGGAGGTGGATATTATTTGCACAGAGGCAAAAATGTGGCAATCACCATGCTGCCGTCTTATGTCCAGTAGAGAAACCAGTCTCTCATCTAGGCTTTGACATGACATCTTAGTTGCTGGTGACAGTGGATGCTTGTGAATGGACCATCAGTATAGTATCATGTTGGTATGGATGGATTCCACCCTATGGGGTGGAAACCTGTTTTTGACAGCTTGGCTGGGTTTAAGGAAAGGCGTTTTTTGTTTCTTTGTTAAAAGAGATGCATGGGACACAGTGGTGTCACAAGGTGGGGGCAGGGGGCGGGCGGTGCGACCCGGGTTCCATGTTTGGGAGGGTGACAAGAAGGCACCCCGCGGGGTACTTGTACTGCTGCCCCGGCCCGGGTGCAGCGGTGCGAGCAGCCATCATGCTGCCGCAGCCGCATGTGGAGGATCCTCCGTTTGTGGCTGCAGCCACGAGCAGAGGATCCTGCCACCGTCTGTATGGCATTCAAGCAGCGCTAGTGTCAAACCACTACGTACAACACATGTGCAGTGTCACACGCATGCGCTCTACGTTGCGACCCCGAACATGCACTGTACATAGCGGTTTGCTGCTGGCGCAGCCCGAGCACTGTACGGACGGTGGTGGGATGCCTCCGTCACTGCTACAGCTGCAAGTGGAGGATCCCTATGCCGCTGCTGCAGCCGCGAGTAGAGGATCCGGCCATGGCTCCCCCCCTCCCTGGTTTGCTGTAAAGCAGCAAAGCAAGAGTTGCTTATGGTGAGCCGCCCCCCCCGTCTCCCTCCCTCCCTGGCTCACTGTAAGTGGCTCCCGCTTTACCGCTTTACAGCGAGCAGGGGACGGAGGGAGAGGGACGAATGGGAGCCATAGCTCCCGAGAGGACGCAGCTTTGCCAGCGCCCCAGCAAAGCGGCATAGCTCCTCCCTTCTCCCAACAGCTCGTGGTACTTGGGAGTCGCAGGGGTGGGGGCGCAGAGGCGTAGGAAGGGGGAGCAGATATTCGGTGTCCGCCTATGACTCCCAAGTCT